TCCCTTGACTTCCAATCAACAATATATTGGTGTGTATACATGGTCATGTGTGTGTGCATGTGTGTATATGAGAAAACCATACCAGATGTATTAATGGGCTCGTACTCTAAAACATACCACCCCAAAACTTAGTGGCTTAACACAACCACCATTGATGTAGCTCATAGTTCTGTAGGTTGGCAATGTGGGCTGTTCTCAGCTGGACTCATTTATGGGTCTTCAGTCAGCTGCAGGTTAGCTTAGTGGCCCTGCTTTCAGGCTGTCAGCCGGAGTAATGGAGCAACAGGATGAAGGGTCCCTCATCATCCCACCAGCTAGGCCAGGCTTGTTCATATGGTGTTCAGAGCTTTAAGAGCAACAAAGGTTAAGCCCGGTGCACAACTGATTTTCAAGCCTCTGCTTATATCACTTGGCACTGACCCATTGACTAACGCAAGTCACATAGCCAAGCCTAGGACCAGGTAGGAAAAGTCCTTCCAAAGGATACAGGGAGGCACGAACGAATCAGAGCCATTACTGCAGCCAATCCAGCACTCACTTCAGTACCCTAAAAGAAGGCATTAACCAAGCAAAATATCTACTTTTAGGGAGGCTTTCTTTCCTGATCTGAAGTCATTAATTGCTAATATGGATTAGCCTGCTGGCCTAGGAAAAACTGCCAATGACAATGGTTAATGGTAAAATCACTAAATATAAACTAAATCACTTTCATTCTATAGTGAGCAGCTATTCATGGCATTACAAGGTAAGAATAATCAAGAAAATTTTAGGAGAAAAATGATGATCATATTACACTGCTAGATATGAACTAGTACTATAAAGCTATAATCATATACCACTGGTGCCAGTATAGCTAGATAGGTCCAAGGAACAGAATATAAATTCTACAATCATATTCAAAAATATATATGCCTTTAGTACTTAATCACAGTGTCATTTCAAGTCACAGAAATTATGATCTATATTTATTTACTCAATACATATTTATTAAGCTGCCATTATTTGTTCATGAACCAATATTTCTTAAGCCTCTGACACAGGCCTGGCATTGTTCTAGGCACTGAGGACAGGGCAGTGAAGCTAGAAGTCAAGGTTCCTGTTTTCTTAGAGCTTATGTTGTAATGAGAGGAGATGTAAAATAAACAAGTCCCCAAACAATAAATATACATTTAATAATAAACAAAACAGTAAAATGCATTCAGATAGTGATAATTGCCATGAACGCAATAAAATAAGGGACTGTGATGGACATAGATTGGAGGCCTTATTTGGATAGAATGGTCACGGAAGGCCTCTCTGAAGAGGTAACATTTGAGAAAAAAACAGAATAATGAGGGGCCAGCCTGGTGGCATAGCGGTTAAGTGCGCGCTCCGCTTCAGTGACCCGGTGGCCTGGGGTTTGCGGGTTCAGATCCCAGGCACGCACCGACGCACCGCTTGTCAAGCCATGCTGTGGCGGCGTTCCCGTATAAGGTAGAGAAAGATGGGCACAGATGTTAGCTCAGGCCAATCTTCCTCAGCAAAAAGAGGAGGATTGGCATTGGATGTTAGCTCAGGGCTAATCTTCCTCACACACACACAAAAAAACAAAACAAAAAAGAGAGTAATGAAAAGAAACCAGCTGTGACCAGAGCAGAGCTTTCTTGGTAGAGACAATACCAAGTGCAAAGGCAGCGAGGCAGGAGCCAGCATGGTCTGTTCCAGAAACAAAAATCAAACCAGGGCAGCAAGTACAGAGCCAGTACTTGGGGAGCAGAGAATCAACAAAGTCAAAAGGATAGGGAAGAGCCCAGTCACACATGCCTTGGAGGCCATGGGAAGAAGTTCCGATTTAGATTTCATCCTAGATGTAGGAGGCAACCAGCAGACAGGTTTTCAGCAAAGGAAATCAAAGGTGGTATTGTGATCTGATTTTTGTTTATGGAAGATTAGGCTGGCTACAGGTGGAGAACAGACTCCAGCGGGACAAGAGTGGAGACAGAGAGACCAATCAGGAGGCTATTTGTAGTATGTGAGCAAGAAAGGATGCTGGCCTAATCTAGGGGGTAGTGTTGATGCAGAGACTTGGCAGGACTTGCCGATTTACAGGGTGTGGAGGGAAGGGAAAAAAAGGAACCAAGAGTGACTATTAAACATTTGGGGCCGGCCCTGTGGCTTGGTGGTTAAGTGCGCGCGCTGAGATGCTGGTGGCCTGGGTTCGGATCCCGGGTGCGCATCGAGGCACCACTTCTCCGTTCATCCTGAGGCCGAGTCCCGCATACAGCAACTAGAAGGATGTGCAGCTACGACATACAACTATCCACTGGGGCTTTGGGGGAAAAAAAAAAAAAAAAAAAAATCTTTAAAAAAAAAAAAAAAAACATTTGGCCTGAGCAACCGTGAGTCCGCCAGTCAGTGTGCTAAACTTTGGGGATAAAATAGAAAATAAGACATAGTCCTTGCCTTGTGAAGTTTATAATCTATAATTAATTAATAAATGCTACTTGGTTAATAGACTAATAATTTAGAAAAATTAAGTTAGATTTAAATATCACAGTTTTTAACATCATAAAGTCCAGATGGGTTGAAATGTTAAATTTAATATATAAATAATATCTAAATAAATAAGCTAGAAGAAAACATATATATTTATATACTTTAAGGATGGGAAAGCTTTTTAACACTGGAGTATAAGCGGTAAAGAAAAATATTAATAGATTGTTTAAATTTTTAAACTTTTGTATGTCAAAAATTGACCATAAACAAAATTAAAAGGCAATACCTGGGAAATATAGTCATAGCATATATAATGAAGAATTGATGTGCTTAATATATAAAGATATCTTATAAATCAGTACAGAAAAGATGAGCAAAGAGTATGATAAACAAACAACCAAAAATATAGCACAAGTCTAAAGAAAGAGTTCAGTCTTACGGGTGGTCAATAATACACATATTTAAAACAGGATATGACTTTTTTTTTACCTTCCAAATTGGTAAATGTTTAGAAGAATAATAATAATCAAGGAATTACCCTAGGAATATAAAATTGACACTTTTTAAAAAAGAAATTCTTTAAAAATGTACATTCTCTTCCTACTGGCAACTTCTTTTCTTGAAATACATCTAAAAGGCATAATCATGGTTGTGTGCAGTTCTATATAAGCATTTACTGCAGCATTGTTTATAGTAATATAAATTTCTCACAATAGGGAAGTGATTAAATAAATAATGGTATATCCATATGGTGTAATACAGTACAGCTAGTTAAACCCACTGCAGAAAAAAAGAAAAAAACCTGACTGACATATGGTAAATTGTTCATGATATGTTCCATGTGATAAAAGCAGGTTATAAAATAATAAGCCAAATGTAACAGCATTTAGGTAAATACCCAAAGAGAAACTATGTCTTATAAAGACATTCACCAAATTGTTTATAGTAACTATATTTGAGAGTTGGAATTATAGATGATTTTTTTCTTCTACACGTCTGTGTTTTTCAAATTTTCCACATTGCACATGTATAATTGTATATTTTTTATATTACAAAATAAAAATTAGGTATTTACAAAAACAAAACAAAAGGAGTCACTGAGCCTCTAACTAAAGGAAACCAATTGGAAACCAGAAATCCGAATAAAGGCTTCAAGGATGCTTGCAGATAAGAAATGCAAAACAAGGTTGCCCTGAAACTGACAATAAACAAATGATCCCCATAGAGTGCAGATGGTGGGGGTGGAGCATGGATCTGACAGAGATCTTCTGAACCTCGGAGCTGTAGACACTGCAGGTCGCGTCAGTCCCCATTCAAAGGTCAGTCCATACCAGCAGGGGATTGTGGGGCCAACATGGCAATCAAACACCCACAAGTAATACCAAGTTGCACTGTCCTCGGCTTTGATTGTGACCCAATTGTGGAAGCTTTGATTGTGACTCAAAATGCCCATTTGCCTGGTTCTGTTCAGTTTATTGAAATAGCCCCCCAGTATGATAAATCTGATCATTCCTGGTCTCTACACACCACAAGTTAAATAGATAAACTATCTGACCTTTTGAACATAGAGAATCCTTAAAGTACAACATCTAGCAAACAGGTAACCCGCAAATCTAGAGTGAAGGTCAGTCTGTGATTTTGACATTTGAACTCAAAGGACACCAGGAATCAACTCTGCCTACCCAACTCACAGGAATTATATTGAATTCCGTTTGAAGGCTCTAAGGTTTACACTTGTAAAATAACCTATTTTTTTTTTTTTAATTCTCAACAGTTGCTTTACATAGCAAACAGTTAAAATACCAATGATACCAAAAAATGTGTGTGTGTGTATGTGTGTGTAAATAAAAGCACTTTGTATTTCCACAGCACCTATCAACTGAGGGTCTCTAAGTCTTGGGTGCCCTTTTTGAAATTGGAGGTATTGTGGAAAAGCGAAGTTCCCAAATGCAATTCAGCTGGTAACAACTAAATTATTATTCATTTCCTCTTTTATACTTTATGACATAGGGGGTTCTGGTGGCCCTGAGGTGTGAGAACCACTGCTCTGGGTGAAAACGTGCTGGTAGGGAAAGGAGGTGACAAAAGAACAGGGAAAACAAATTTCAGAAATTTCTCATTGAAAGAGAAAATTTTTAAAAGAAAGACAGGTGAATAATGACACTCAGTCCTAGTCAGTGTCATATCTCATGGACTATTTCTCTATAGTCTGGATAGATTACAGAGCAGAGATTAGAATCCGTCCCATTCAGTGGGTAAAGCGTTAACCGGAAAGTCAACTCACATCTCCTCAAAAAGTGTGACTGGGAGCAAAGGAGTGTTCCTATCAGCTGCTCCTAAGAAAGAAAGTAAACACTCCCGACATGCAGTGAGGCACAGGGAGTGGCTCAGGTTTCTAACACTCCCCTGCGGTGGCGAAAAGGAGTAATTATTAACAGCATCTTGGGCTCAATGAGCGTCCGTGGGGCACTGCCAGGCAGGGAGCCGGAGCCTGCTCTGCAAGAGCTTGTCCTCCCCTCCTCCGCACTTGGCTCCAACCTCCAGCACAGGTGAGCAGCGCTGACTCTCCGACAGTCAGATTGTGACTGAGCAGGGCAACAAACTCTCTCCGGAGCAAGTTCAGCCCAACAAGCAAGGTAAAAAGGCTCCTTCTGCTCACAGTGTGAATAACAGGTGAAAATGAGGGCAGGGAAAAGAACCCCTCTAATCTACTCCCTGAGGGCAAGTTATTAGAAAGCAGGATCCAAAGGCAGTCAGGTTGAATGGGTGCATGTATCAGAGCAGCCCGAAACCCGGGCATTACTTTTCCTCTTGATTTTTCAGAATACCTTTCCTGACCAAGGTAAGCATATGGGAAGGGAAATAGGAAGGAGGGAGTGGGGAGAGGGAAGGGCATAGTGTGGCCACTGAACCCTCCTCCCTTTCCTCAAGGGAAACAGCTCAGTGAGAGCTTTACCTGGAATTGTGCCGACCCTCCCAAAGATACCAGACTCCTGTGTGACATCCCCCTTTCTCTGGGTATTCTTATGGTTATAATGATATTACTGAATCAGCGGACATGAAAGGTCTTTTTGATTGAGGGTTCAGCTAAACTTTTGTTTCCACAAAGCGACAGAGACATCCTCCCCCCAAAAAACTGAAAAAAATTTCTAGTATAATTTGACTGCACCTAACAATGAAAAAATAATCATAACTAATTAAATGGGAAGGAGTCTATGAGTTAAGCATACAAATTCTGAAGCAAGAGAGCCACAGGTTCAAATCCTGGCTTTGCCACTTACTAGTTTATCCCTTAGCAAGTTACTGAACCTATCCAAGCCTCAGTTTGTCGTCTATAAAACAAGCATCGTAACAGGATCTGCCAATGGAGCTCTGATAGGAATTGAACACTTAGCAAGTGTTCTATAAATGATTGGCATTAAGAAATGAGCACCTCTGCCAAAGAAGCCAGACCAGGGAGGGTGAGCTGAGCTGGAGAGACCACACAGGGTGGAGGTACTGGAGTTGAACTGGTTTCCAGAGAGTGGGTCCAGGACACGTGAGCAGATAGCAGGTGGGGCAAAGCATTACCTCTCTGAGGAGCAATAAAATTATCTGGCTTCTTGCCACTTTTCAAATAGAGTACATGGTGGCAAATTCAAACTTATTTACTACTCGATCACTTTTATTTTGGAAAAGTTACATTTATATTAATATGTTATTTCTAGAAGGAAAACAGAATTTTACAGTAGGAGCGTTACACACAATCCCGTATTGTGGAACCCATGACATTTGAGTTTTATAAGAGAGATTGCCTTTGAATAACTTTGATAAAATTAGACCATATAGTCCACGTCTTTATATTGTGGCACACATTGAATTGTCTGTGTTGAAGTGAGGTAGACTTTCATTAGCGTTTATGAACAAAAACATAAAAGAATGATACCTGTGTTTTGTTGGTCTTTACCTCTTAAGCTTAAATTATAGAGAAGTGACCTTATTTTATGAAATTTTATTTAAAGGGCACTTTTGTTAATGTTGCTGTTGGTTTTATTAATGTTGATAGCTTTGAGGAAGAGACATACTTAGTAACTGTGATTAGCAAAGTATTTTCAGTGATGTCATTTTATCTTTTAGTTTTATTAATAAAAACATTTAAATGGTCTGTAGTTGATCCTAGCTTAATATCATCGTGATTTTAATAGGTTCTTTTTTCAAATTGCAGAGTTGAAATTCTCCCATGTACTTATAATTGGATATTGACTGGAGAATTGTGGATAGAATTCTAAAGCCAACCAAGCTGACCTTTACTATGTTATTGTCCTCTGGGGTCTGATAGTGTTTGGTGTAGTTTAGCTAAAAACTGATAAAGAAATCAAATGCATTTAGAATGAATTAGAGTACCGGTATTCACTAAACATTTTTCAAACAGGAAATATGACCTTATGCCAAATAGATATTATTAGACCTTCTAAACCAAGTTATTTGATTTTATATTTCTTAATAGGCATATGTCTAAATAACAAAAAGTAGTTGCAATTGAGATAAATCTACTTAACCAGAGTTGAGATTAATTTGAGATTAATTTATTTAACCACATAACTGGGGTAAGTCTTCCTAAAGTCTATTTTAGTATACATATGTTTTTCTACTATTTCTAATGCATATAACATTTTTTGATAAACTGTTAAATGTTTTAGTCAATCAAAAGAGACAGAGAGAGATAACCAGCAATGATTAAGAAAAAAATTATATTTTCCAATTATATTAAAAATACTGTATCATGTATGTAACGTCTTTTTTTTTTTGCTGGGGTAGATTCACCCAGAGCTAACATCCATGCTGATCTTCCTCTATTTTTTAGTATGTGGGCCACCAGCACAGCATGGCCACTAACAAAGTGGTGTCGGTCCATGCCTGGAAACCAAACCTGGGCTGCCGAAGTGGAGCACGCTGAACTTAATCACTAGGCCATGGGGCTGGCCCATAACATGTCTTTTTAATATGTAATTCAAACTTTCATATCTGGTACTTTTTTTAACTTCCTAAAATAAGAAGCGTCATCTACTTTAACTGAAATAGAAATCTAATGCTAACAGTAATTTACTTGTCCAGATTCACTGGTTACAATGCAGATAGGGAATTTAGCTTTGTTCGAGATACGTGGGCTTTACGTATACATGGGCTATTACTTATATAAAAGTTTAGATTTTTAAAAATATTCAAGTATGGGTCAATTGAAAATACAACCTCTGAGAAAGAATGTCTTCTGAATATTCTTTCTTTTCACTTAAGTCTAGGGTTAGAGAGGTTTTGGTTCTGTTGAAAAAATTAATCTGTGCCTTTCAAAGCTATCAAGTATAGTGATTTCATCACTTCATAACATCATCTCAAGTACCAAACTAATACTGCTGCTTTCAACTACTGTAGTTGAACATCAAGGTGCCTCCTTTTTAAGTGATGAGGGTGTTATCATAGTAGTTGAGATGCTTGAGGGAAAACTTCTCCATCATCCTCCCAGAGCCTAGTAAATGGAGCTCAAGAGGAGAGAGTGCTGATTCTTTTGCAGCAACATATGAACAGGAAAAATGAGTCATGCGTGAGCCCTGTGAAGTCAACCTTTGAATTTCCTCTTGGAAACTCAGATGAAGCAGAAAATCCTTGAGCTGTACCACAGCAGCAATTCCAGAAGATGCTGTTGGCCTACTGAGCAGCTCCCTCCCAGACTGAGTGGTGGCAACATGCCGTGAGTCCTGAAGTGGCTTAGAGCTAACTCGCTTCTCTTACTGCTTCCCCTTTCCTCACCTCCTTGAGGGCACTCTGGGGACAATAAAGTACATGGCAGTAGCACTGTGTAAATATGCAATAGAATATTAAAGGTTTGGCATTTCAAAGGAGATTCCACTGAGACTGACGACAAAGGCTTGCTCACGTAGAAGTCTGGTTGTTTGATCCACATCCTGTTTAGTCCTGTCTTAAATTCAAGCACTGTGAGACATTGTTATTTGCATCTCAGAACAAACATTTCCTAACTGCAACCAATATCACTTAATAAAGTGATAGTTTGTAAACTCTGACCCTCAACTTCTATCATCTTTGCAAATGAGGCACATGCTTTAGAAAAAATATGGAGCCAAATATTTCCCAGAAACCATGCTTTTCTTAACTCTTCCTGTTTTCTAAGGATTGGATAATGGATAGAATTATAGATGTTTTTTTCTCATTTCCTTGAAGTGGTATAATTGTTTTTGATCTGCTCTTCTCAACTTCAAGGTTCCAGGTCACAGCTTAGAGAAAACAGCTTTATTTTGGAGCTGAATACATATTTGTAACTTTCCATTGCTTCTTCAGAACAAAACAATAATTAAAAAAAAAAAAACTTCATGTGTACAGCCCTTAATATAAACTTACTTCATAATTGAAATACACACTTACTATTCCAATGAGTTACTTTCTATTCTTGTTTTTAGTAACTTTTATGGTGTGTGTTATGTAAGATAGTTCCTTGTATATTATTTAGAAAGTATTTATGAAATCAAAAAGAAAATAATTATCACTCATAATTTCATAGCTCTCAATTTTACTGTTAATATTTTAATATACTTTCCCATATATTGAATATATTAATTACTTTAATATGTCTTACCTATATACTTGCATATGTACACTCACTCTAGGAGATACAAAAATGAAGTAAGCAATAATCTTGTTCTAAAGGAACTAATAGTCAAATTAAGTACAATAAAATATAGTTAGAGAAAACAGTAAGTAATTAGAAAGCTGCAGATATTTTGTTATGAAAGTTCAGAGACGTGTAAATTCCCTGGGGAATCTAGGGAAGTTTGCAACTGTATTTTTTTTTTTTGGTCATTGTAAAATTATGACCATTTTGACCCTTCATGCACACAGTGGCCTCAGGAATAAAGGGATTCAGATACACATATGAACTATGCTTCCTGTGCCTAGCACTGTAGCAGGGCACAGAAGGAACTCATGAAATATTTGTTGACTATACAAAGGAGTGAAACCAAGTTTTCCACTTTTAAACAAGTCACAATTTAATTAATCCGTGCTTGGGCACAGGAAGGTACTTCAAAGACTGACCCATTTGAGTTAATTGGGGCCTGGATTCACCTCCCATCCTCTGACCTCGTTCTGATAACTCGCCAGTCCAGGGAAGCCCACATCTAGGCAGGATATAGAGCAGGGGAAGGCAAACCACTGGTGCTCTCTGATGCTCTCAGGTCTCAGTGTTGCTCACACATTGGTGCTGTCTGATTTTGCCTTTTCAGGGTCCTGATCTCATCTGCCTGCTCAGACTAACTCTACCCTCCTAGTCTCCTCCCTTCCCTGTTGAGCTACCCAGGCCTATTTGAGCTTAGACTTTCCTAATACTTCCAGGACTGTTTATTTCTCCAGGATTTAATTGCTAATCTATATAATTCCTTATTTCTTGAACTCCATTCTGTCTGGATAAAGTGAAAAATAAATAACCAAACTTTTTAAATAAGTAATCTTATTTCATACATAATCTAAGTCAATAAGCTCTGGTCCCAGGACTGGAGAGCCTTGTGTAATTCACCCTCCCAGTGAAGTACATAGATTGGTAACAACTACCTTCCTCCTCAAGTCATAGTTTATTATGTTCTACCAAAAT